CATTTGATTTTCAATTTTTAGTAGGTTAACCTATGAATTTTTTAATTATCCGCCCAAAACAAACTCACCCCCCAAAAAGTGAATGTTGCCAAGCCCTCCCAGCGGCCATTTTTCAAATGACATCCCTCACCTTCCTCGGGCTCTTCTGACTAATTTTCAATGCCATTTTGGTCTGCTTTGCCCCCAGGTGGGTGCCCCTGAATCTACAGAGATGATCCTGGGCCATACTGACACAATCCCACCATTTCTTGGCCCAAACAGACCCCTCTTTTCAAAACAATCTCTACTTTTTGTGCGCCTCAGCCTGGCGGAGAATTTTCCTTGAATTGGGACACTGCACCCTTAAACATCAACAGACTAGCCGAGCATGCCGTCCTCGCACGTGCGAACGCACGTGCGATGGGTGCAAAAGGTCTATGAAGTGATTGTGCTTTTCGTATTACGTGACCTGTCAAAGCCTGATGCACGAAGCGCGATATACAGTACTCGAGATTCAGGAAATGTTCGATCTGAGGACGCAAGGAAATCAAAACAGGACAACAGAAAGTAGTAAATAAAAGCAAATCGTCCGCGCTATCCTGTCAGTTAAATTCTGCCTATTCTTGCAGAGTTGCGGAAGGTAACACATATAAAAAAAGGTCATATACATGACACCATCCTTCCTGTATGATTATAGCTCAGTGGTGGCCTCGTTTCCTAGAGGACTGATCGCCGTCGAGGTCGACGGACACGGTCCAGAAAGAGTACAATGCCCGGCGTCACGCAACGATGCGCGGCCGGCCGGCCGTCTGCCTGCCGAGAGAGGAGTTATATATATAGGCCTAACCGAAGTGTAACTTTGAATGCTGTCCTTGCAAATGCATATGTATTCATATTTTTGTGGGTATACCCTTAGGTACGAGCCTACAAGAACAAAATGTGATGTTTCTAGAACAGACCTCGATGTTAAACTGTTCACAGCACCGAGATTTGCCAAACATTTTGGCAGTCTTAAATTTTCTTACGTTTGGCGATTCGCAAGCAAGGTTTTTCCACGAATGTTCTCAGTGAGAAGCTTTCAGCTCACAGAATAATCGGTAACTTCCTCAAAGTGTGATGACACGTACCCAGCAAATGTTATCACAGCAACTTTATTTGTCTGGTAAAGCGTGTAATAGGCCTCAGTCCATTTGTCCAAAATGTTGACCACAAAAGATTGTCGAACAGTTTTTCATGTATTTTCTGAATAGATGAAGACCAAAACGAGGAACTGTTTTCCAAACTCACGGCATGGTTCTTTAAATTAAAGCCTTCCATGCAGGCAAATGAAGAAAGATTACAACGGGATAATGATGATCTTAAAAGCAAATCCAGGGTCCTGTGGACACTAGCATCCATTTTTGCTACGGTCAAACGAAAACGAAGAATAGACCTTTTTGATTTACGGAAGGCATAAGCCGGACAAGGCCAGAGCCAAGGACTTTCCTGCGACTTTGCGTAACACGCAACCCAAACACGGCTAATTGGCAAAGCTTAGTACAGAAGCGGACGTGACTTGCACTTTTCCAATACCTGCCAAGCCCAACGTACTGCATACGCGTACTGTGCAATTACTTCACTGCCGCAACATCTTGGACCTATCCCCGAGCCCAGCCTGCCGTTTGCAGCAGCACTCGGGTTGGACCACAACCAACATGTCGCGCTACTGGAGACTTCTGATCGTTGTTGCCGCTTTCCTTCAGTTCCTGGTATCCGTCGGTCCCTCGTACAACTACAGCGTCTTTTTGATACCACTGCAGACTGAGTTTAAGACCAGTGCTGTTTCCACAGGTAGGCCGATTGGAAGTTCACAGATATTTGGGAGAGACGAGAGAGGGGAATTTATGCATGCTATGGGACCTATATACTTTATACAAGGTTATATTCGAGACAGGAACCGTGTAATAAACGATCACTTTTTGTTCAAGAAAACAAAGTCAATTTCACCAGACGGAAATTTATTTTTCCTGACGATAGAGGTTGTGAGTTGATAAAGATGTCAATCTGAATGAGTCGTGGTCACATCATGTAGATAGATTCATAGATTTTAGCTATAGCTACATTTTTTTAGAAACTTGTTATTACGAACGGTTTCGATCAATCCTCGAGGTTTGAGTGCTGGGCATGCAGTAAAAGAATTTCGAATGCATTCAGTCCTCACTATGAGAGTGCTGGACCGTTGCGCCCGGCGCGTGATGAAAACAATTTCTAGCGCTCGGCCCGATCGGCGCCAGTTGAGGAAGGGACAGCCGCGGTACGCTCAGACCGGCCATCCACGGTCGTAGACCGGTGCGACATTCCGTCATAAAAAGTTTACCGTGTGAAAATCTGCAGGAAATATGTTTGGACATGGAGACTATTTTTTCTCTCTTAAATCCTGCAGCTAACACTTGTCATTGACGGTAATGCGCATGGATTACAGACGTCACCGTTAATTGGCCAAGTTCTCGGGAAAACGTAAAAAAAATCTCCATATGTGATTCATCAATAATAAAAAAAATCTGCATTCAAGATATTCAGCTGACGAACCACTTCAACTATCGAAACCTTACATTTTGGCCCTTATAATTGTGTCAGCGGCGCAAGTAACACTCAAGTGGACTTGA